CGCTCTTTCTTTCTTTCTTTTTTTGTTCTGTCTGTCTACATAATTATGTGTTTGTTTTTTACACATATCTGTAAAGCACCGAAATAATAAATTCATCAGTTCGCCAAGGCATCTACGCTTTCCGCAAGGCTAAAAAAGGCACTGATGGGCACAAAAAAGGTAAATTATCAATTTAAATATATATTTGGTAGTTTATCAATGCAAATTGATAAACTACCTAAAAGGTAAATTGTCAGTCATGATTCGATTGACAATTTAAACAGCGAAGTTGTGTAAGCCATCTGTAATTTGTGCGGCCTGTCTAAAGAAAGAGGTACGCGCTCATGTGGCGTTAAGAATATCATCATCATCATCATCATGATCACCGTCGTCGTCATCATCATCATCATCATCATCATCATAACGTCATCATAAACCACTGTGTGCCATAAAATTTGGGTGATTGCTAGTCCGGAAGGCTGAAAAGATGGCGAGACCCAGCGGTGCCTTGAAATAGGGGCCCGACCACGTGGCGTTGCCCTGTTTTACGGCAACGATGTCTTTTTTGCTAATAAAGTTTTGTTCTTCTTCCTACTATTCACCCCTGGTACACTAAAAATGAAGAGAACTGTAAGCTAAACAAATGGTTGTGCAGCGACTCAGATCTTTTAAGCGACAAGACAAGACTTAGGTGAGCTGAACGTCCGGACTACGTACAACGAGTCAATACTAAGGAACAGAAGACGCAACGGTGGAGGCACGAAGACACCGAAGCTATGGACGTCCTACGCTAATGGCATGGCCGTAAAACTGTGAGAGACGTGAACGCTAGCTTTGGGCGCGAATTTGTAAGCGGGTTTCTGTTTCTAAAGTTTCGACGCCCTTTTCGTGTCTGTGGTTTACCTCGAACCCTTCTAGGCTGAGAATCAGCATAATAACAATGTTACATTGGCTACCTATAGGCTAGCAACGACGTTCACGTAACCTAGAAGCAACCTGCGACCTCTAGCTAAGGCCTTGAAGCAACCCAGAGCTAACCAGATCAGTCTTAATAATCCTATTATTTATCAATTTCAAGCCTTGCCTGGCCTTGCGCAAGCTTGGGACTTTTTTTTTTCACAGCGGAGGAAACATCCCCAGGAACAAATGATACATCGTCATAACAGGTGTACTTTACTACAAGCCCTATAAGTGATTTTCTTCCCAAACATACGACCTTCATTTACTATCAGTATAATAATCTTGACGCAGACTACCCTGTTTTATTCCTCGTATCGACCATCTGAAATACATCAGCTGTCACCACTCAAAAGAAAAAAACATCATTTTTATTTACCATAATTATTTATTTATGAAAAAAGAGAGGCTGCATAAGAGCTGGCAGTTTTATTATGATGATGTTCATTATAAAAACACACAAAAGGTCAAAGTGCTGAAATAATCAGAAAAAAACTATTTGATTTTATGTACTTATACGACATATGACATATAAAGAATACCCTTAAGAGCATAGTTTAATACATGTACGGTGTTGGCACACATTACAACGAATAGAGCTTATTCAATAGAGCTTTGGCTAATCGCTTGAGTAGTGGGCATGAGCCACACGCCTGGTAGCGTAAGAACGAGAAAGCAGCTTAGGCGTCGCCCATCGCTTCTACCAGCTAACGCTTTCTGTGCCCTCGAACCTTCGTTGAACGAGTTCGAGTTACCCTAACCAACTGATCTAACATCCCAGATGTCACAAAGGTGATGCAGCTGTCGTCGAAGCGGACAACCAGACTGTCGGAGCCAGTGGGGAATCTGTCTCGAACGACGAATCTCAACTGGAAAAACGCGTGAGTGATGCACGTTACAATGTCTCAGCGTACATAGAAATCTGTTTCACCGCGATCGCGAAGGAATGAATGAGACAGCATCAAACTGGAATCGTATACGAAGTATGGCTATCAACCAACTCCTTTAGGGAGCCTATCTGGCGTAACTGTACAAACACTGGCGAGTGGGAATACGGCTGCTCCAGGGAGAGAAGCACTTTTCGTGGTTTCTGTGTAGCTTCAACCCCAGATAAGCGGTGAGAGCGCAGAGCGTACAGCACATACAGATGTCCACACGCTTGTCTAGAATGCTGATGTGGCATACTTCGGCGTGTTCCAGCATGTTCTGTCGCAGCACACGCCACTAACAAGTATACTTCTGGGATATCCCCCTCGCTCGCTGGATTCCGTGCCGACCGGTTGCGCCCTCGCGATCTCCGACGACAGCGCAGCTCTGGTCGACTGGGTTGGTCCTACGCCACCTCCTGCCGCCGGTCCCCTACGACGACGACAGCGTAGCTCTGGCCGACTGGATTAGCCCTACGCCATCTCCTGTTGCCGACAAGAGCTCTCGCCAGTGGTGCTCCGTCCTCTGAGTCCTGCAACCGTGTCCTTCTGTCCTGTCTTCTCCTTACTTCCGTCGCTCCCTGTCCCTGCGCCTCGCTCTCTCCTTTCCTCTCTCTCTATCTCTCTACCTTTTAATCCTACCCTTTTAATCACTTCTCTGCCCCGATCCCTCATGAGCTACTGTTGAGGTGTCCTCTCCCTGAGAGACAGTTATGGGGCTCACTTTTCTCTTCTTTTAATTTATAATCACTCCCCCCCCCCTCCCCGTGTGGTATCCGGGTTCATTTTCAGTTTGATTCGAGCTGCCATGTGGTGCCTCGCACGGCAGCGATGTCTAGATGCGCCACTAGGAGTGCGTAAGAAGCATGCTGTATATACGTGTAAATAAAGTTCACTTGGTGACGAGTACTCGTACAAGGCGGACGTGTCTCTTCGGCGCTCTGCGCCACTTTGCCGGCGTTCCTGCCGGTATCATCGGAGGGCTGCGGTGTTGCGCTCTTTTTCTTCTTCGTCGGCTGCGACCATACAACACCACGCTTAAGCATCTGTTCTTAGTTGTCATGTACGCTTTAGTATGGCCTTTTTAAAGCTTGGTGTTATCGACAAAAGCCGTCAGTGCAGTCTGGAGGGTGCAGCTCCAGTGTTCTGGACTAGTGTGTTGATGTCTGTACAATTAAGGGTAAGAATCGTCTGCTCATATTTCTCGATAAAGCCCACATGCCACTGTTCCCGCTCTTTTGATCCAAATTCCTATTTGCTGCCCCTAAAGCTCAGCACTCTTCCTCTTCCCCTACCTCCCATCACCGTCCGCTATGAAACCTGCTCATGCTGCATCGTCTGGGGAGACACGGCCGGCGAGTTCCATCTCTGCTTGAGCCGCGTTAATGCACCTGCATTCGAATGGTGCCACTCGCAAGCAGAATATATGATTCGGGAGGAATGCTATTCATTGGCGCTTTTTAAGGAACATGATGGCGACGGTGAACATGCGCCGCTATTGCACATACATTTGCTATCACAAGACTTAGTTGCTTCGCAACGTTTATCGGAACATTTCAACACAGTGTGTAAACCGAGCCATGGCTTGATTTCGTACTTACGCAAATAACTTTCTTTATTATTTGCAAGCACTACTGTCACACTCCCTATTTAAACGACACGGCTTAAGTTTACGTATGTTTAATTATTGTTCCGTGTATTTTACCGTGACTCCTCGGTTTACATTGCCCTATTTTGAAACTGTATGAGCTTCAGTGCTGCCTTCCCAGTTAGCGTAAGGTTTTCAGACTTCTCAAGCTGCCACTGAGCATTTGGTTTTTCTGCAACCTTTTGTCGGCATTGAGAGATCAGAAAATAAAAGAATTGACTTGAATAAAATATGTAGAACATTGTTTAAGTGTCACCAGCTGCGTCGTGCTCAACTTTCAATAGGGCATGCGGGCTGCGCTTCTACTACTCGCTGTAAAGTGATTGATAGTTCGTTATACGACGACCCTGCTTTCATACATCCTTTTATAATAGCGAGAGCAAACAGTGAAATGGACAGTATCGTACTACATCGATCAGATTAGGTTAGGTATTAAAACTACACAGTACATAACAGCCACATCAGCTTAAGAAGCAAAAAGCCTTGGCACGGTGACATCTGTTTCATTTTGTACAGCGTGGGAAGTGTACTTGATGATCTGACAGCAGATACGCAGTTCACCGATTCTTCTTTTTTAGTACAGAGAGCCCCGAAAATCCTTGTGTAGGCGTGTTTGTTGGTTGAATTTCAAACCTCTCAATTCCTCGTATTAAAGAAGTGGGTGTGTTCAACTTCATCTTGGCAAGAGTAGCTTCTATATATAAATAAAAGAATTGTGCTAATGCTTAACTTCCACATGTCGTCACCAGGTGCTACCCTTTGATAAATGATTTCCTATACGCATCGTGAAGACGCGTCTTGCCGCGACGAGAAGCCTGATGTGAAGACTATGCCAATATTCAAATTTTCACTACGTGATTTAGGACGAAATCCTCAAAGGACTCTTGTGTATGAATAAATGGCACGGCTTCTTTTCTTGAAGTACATTAGCTCCTTTTTAAAAGCATCAGCTAAGTGTTAGGATTTCGTTATTGTAGAATTGAGTGCAGTTACTCTGTATATGATTACAGCTACGCCTGCAGCACTGTAAATTATTGGTTTTCTTGATTACAATGCTTTGACTGATGAAACATTGTGGAAAGCTAGTTACCAAGGTGGTCGTATTATTACAAAGTTTTTATTACTGGCAACAAAGCCAAGCGTTAGTTTCTTCATGATAAGTAAACATTTATTGGTATCACAAGGTGAAATTTTCGGCACCCAATATTCATGTTATGTATACCGAGGCCGAGGAATTCTCAGTAAATAAAAAGAAATAAATGTGACCGAGCTAGCATGCTCTACCACTTATATAACTTTATGTGTTGATAACTAGGCATACACTCTTGGTACAGGATCACAGAATGACCCACCGATGAAACTCTGTAAACGTATCTGGCTTACTAAATACATCACAGATGCCTGCGTTTCTGGTGGTTTGTACATGTGACAATGCGCATGATCTCCTGTGATAAGCAAGCATATAACAATAATAACTTTTCTGCCAACAGCTACGGAGGACGAGGTCGCCAAGCCGAGAGAAACTACCTGATAACTACGGGCCTTGTCTTCGCTTAAATAGTCGGAGTAACGCCAGCTGTGACCGTCCTCTCTTCAAATGCGAGAAGCGAGAAGCTCCAAGCAGTTCTCGAAGATCAGAAGACACATCTGTAGCTGGAACAAGTGTGCCCAAAGCCACCGTAGTGAAGTCAAACACTACTCTCAGCATAGGGATACCGAGAAGTGTTGACACGCTAATTACGGAGAGGCGTTTCCGGGAATCGGCCAGCCGTGCGACTGGCTCGCTCTGTAAAAGCTTCAACGAACAATGCAGTGTTGCTTTAGAAGCAGTAGCCTTATCAAGACACAGAGGAAGTACCGAGATAGGCCCAGTGATACCACGGTGTCACGAAGATTTGAATGAACCAACATGGCAATGGACTCCTAATGAGACCACGTGTGCAGGCACGGCTCCTACGGGTGGCCAACTTCTCGTGTCTGAACCGTTACCATGCCAGAACGACGAAAACGCTGCGAAAGTCCACCAGCGATTCCCGGCCGGCATTCACAGAAGGCTCGTACCAAGAAAAATGCATACAGGGCGTTTCGAAAATGACCTTTCAGAGTCATCGTTTACAGAGTGCGCGGTTCCTCCAGAACTAATGCGTGAGCTGGTACATTCGAGCCTGTATCCTAAGCATTTACCAGCGACTGATCATGTTGGTTCCCGAAAAGCACGCACAACGCCGGATATCAATGTTTACCATCAGGTGAGTATGACTGATGCTTTCGATGCTGAAGATTACGTTTAGGTGGCACAGATGCATCGATTAATGTTTTGTACGGTATTGTGGCAAGCTAGACAGCTCTGGCACCAATAATCAATGAACGTCACGAAAGTAACTCACATTTCGTTCAAGAAAGCCGAAAATTAATTTACTCCATTCGGATAGTTTCCATTATCCGCATGTGCCTCATAACAAAGAAAATTACCTTTGGACACGGAATTGAACGTAAGCATGCGGTGATCAATAGGGGAAAGAATATAGCGCAACATAATCAATCGGCTAAGGTGAGAATTTAGGGACAGGTTGCCAAAAAACGAGTACCAAAAAATGCAGGGCTTTATCAGAAACAAATGTAAATACAATAGTGAGGGACGTGATTAGTCACCTACAGCCAGCGCATGCTTCTTTTTACGACCTTTACTCTTTATAGTTAGGGTGACTATTTAGTACGCTAATTGTTCCGTGACTGTTTGAGCTGCTTGAAAGTTTACCCCTACCAAGTCATACGGGACATTTAAAAATAACAATTGTTTCATTGCTCACACAGGGGTCACGGATTATTTCCAAGCCTGGTGTGCAGCTACAAGCCACGACGGTAGAAAAGTTTGGACCATCCGGGCATCCAGCTGGCTGGCATGAAACTCAGGTGCTGACGGTACTCGTCTCCAATCTGACAGCCAGAGGTGCACTGTCAGCAGAAGAAATGGACAGGGATAGCGTGAGACTTTTCTCCAAGCCAACTACGAGTGCGGGCATTTCACCGACTGGGACGAGAGCAGGGCCATCATCCACAGGCAAGATGCCTACAGAAATCGCCAGTGCCAAAGCGGGCGCAGCTTCTAGCACTTTTCCTACGGCCATGACGTCCCGGGGCCCTGGTGTGATGTCACAAGCCCCTGTGATAGGAAGAGCAAATGGCGTCGTCAGGACCGGTGTCGGTGCGACTAGCGTCGCAACCCCTGGATACGCAACGTCCCTGGTTTCAGCAGGGGTATGTGTGCTATCTGTTTACAGTTAAGCCTCCATGGAAATTATCAATGTTACAGTGGTATACCATCGGCTTGTTCATTGGGATCATATGATTTCTATAGACAGGTATGCTGATATTAGAATGTTTGCTGTTTGCGCGTGTTCATATCACAACGCAATACCCTAAAATTTATTTTCTTAGATTTTTATACATAGGCGACAATCAGTGGAAATTCTTACATTATTCTTTTTAATAATTTTCTGGTCACTATGCGATGTTGCGAATGCGTGGGCCATTAGCCTTGTCAAGCTTTAGGGATGACAGCTTTACTGTTTATCGTATTGTTTAAGAATCAACCCGGATTGCCCGAAAGGCAATCTCTGCATGCAAAGCTTCATAACAATATTTGGTCAAGAATGATGTAAAGCTAATATATATATATATATATATATATATTTATATATATATATATATATATATATATATATATATATATATATATATATTGATGGATGGGACATCGCAGAGTCGAACTGCGAGTGGGAAGCGACCTTCTGTGCCACGTTCGTCACAGCCTGTCCCACCAACGGCAGCAATGCCTCCGTCAACTGCTCGCCCATCACAAGCTCAAGGTGCGTTTCCTGTAAAAAAGTGTAATATTTATCAAGCTTCTTTGCTGCATCGAACAGGAAACTGCTCTAACAGCTCTGCAAACAGACGAGAACGCGGATATTCATCGAATAAATCTGTACCACAAACACACCAGGAATAAAACAATACCAAAACTTGAGAGTGTGGGACCAAGGCTCACATACATAGAGGCGTCTTCCTGGTACGACACTGTCCGTTGTGCATCTTTGCACCCATCAGAGTACATTACTGTGAACTTGTTTATAGCGCAACACCAGAAACACAGAAAAAGGAAGGAGCAAAAGAGAAAGAAAACACGGCGCTGACTCAGAACTGTTGTTCGTTAGCGCCGTCTTTTCTTTTTCTTTTGCTCCTTACCCGTCCTGTGTTTCTGGTGTTTCGCTGTAAACAAGTTCACGATGGATTCCAGCCAAGTGGTCCATCTTACCGTCTTACTGCAGGTTGCATTAGGTTTACAAAGCCATCTATTCGTCAATGACTAGCCTACTACAGGCCACGAAAATCAATCGATTGATCTATCAATGAATTAATCAAATATACACAATCATTCAGTTATGTATCCTTTAGACCTCTTAAGTACAAGACTGAAAGCATGAGCAGCTTGATGAGGTGCCAACATGACAAAGTGGGATAAAGGTGATGGTCAGCCACGCTGGAAGAGTGCGAATAAATTCGCAAGTACTACATGGCACTCAGAACTAAAAATTATGTAACAAAGCACTGAACAATACGAAAGAGCCCATTTGCTTAGACAAGAAACGACATGAGCATAAATAAAAAAATGTCTGATACGAGCAAACTTATCGCCTACTTCGGTGAGAGCAGGTGATGGGGACCGGAGGCTGAATAAAGTGAGCCATACATACATACATACATACATACATACATACATACATACATACATACATACATACATACATACATACATACATACATACATACATACATACATACATACATACATACATACATACATACATACATACATACATACATACGTGCGCCGACCACGTATCTAGGGCAAAATTGGGGGGCATCCAAGAAGCTTGCACTGCCTTAGATCCCTTATGCAGTGCTAAACCATGTGAGGCACAAACCATTTCAGGAGGGGTGCGCGGGGGTATAATACAATCGACTGAGCAGTAAAAAGACATCTTTCGCCTTTGAGTAACCCTAAGCAAATATATAGGTTTAGTTTGGGAAAACTTTATTGAGCAAATATATCGGTATCCGTAAATTTTTTTCCCCGTGATTGCTCTCTCTGCAATGTGCTGCTCTTTGCCCTCTAGGGCCTGCTGCCAAGGGCCCTGCCATCCCAGGCGGTAACGCTACCGTGACTCCAAATCCAGGTGTTGCCCCGGCTGCTGCTCCTGCTACGGCTGTGGGTGCTGTTCCCACTAGCTATGGCCCTGCCTTCGCTGTAGGTCAGACTGCACAACCTGCTTCTGCAAATTCCTTCACCATTGGTCCTGGCCCAGGCTTCGCGGTTGCTGAAATTGGTGCAAGTCGTGGCGTACCCACGGTGGGAACTGGTGCCCCGATGCCATTCTCTCCCGTGCTGGAATCGGCGCTATTCGCGGACTCCGAGGGTGACGAAGAGCCGGACTACGAGCTTTCCGACACCACAATCCTGGACGTCAATCCGTGTCTCCTTCTGCCGCTATCTGGATGCAACTTCTTTTTCATTGCCGGTGCGCAATTTAATTTTATGAAAGAATTTCACAACCAAAAAATTTCAGCCGCGGCGTCATACGCAAAAAAATCGAACGCTGGTAAGAGTTTGTATTTCAATGCGCTTTTTCCAAAAACTGAAAGGATCTCTTCTGTATTCTCCAAAAGTGATTAGAAGGCGAAAGACGTATTATTATTTTCGCTCTTAGGCAATACATGTATTAGTCCTGTACCCTCCCGCGAAGCTCTCCTTACCAATGAGGTTGCAGATGCCATCAGGATAGAAGGAACTGCAAGATTTTTGAAGCTCACCTGCTTTGGCACTGGCTCCACGATCGGCTCATTTAATGGTGACGTCATCACATGATTTTTGTGCATCACTCGCGTTGACGCCACCGACGCTGCCGACGCCTGATGTTAACATCGATGGCCAATTTTGGACTTTGATAAAGCATGTAAGACAGTCACCTTGATAATTTGTGCTTTGAATTGTGAGATAGTGGTCGACAAGTTCGGAGATGACGATGGTACTTAACTGAGGTCACCTGTAATTTCACGGCAATGCCGTTGACTGAGAAGCCGTTTATATTTATTATTAGGCGTCTCTTACATTGCGACTCTAACATCATACAAGAAGACTGCTTTCTGAATACGTAACTGATTGATTTAACATGTTTTGGGCAGGCTTTTTACTTACAGTCTACGAGTTTTTGCGCGCTGCCGAATTGAAATAGTAAGCTATTCTTAGTTAAGGCTTCCCATTGCGATATTGTAGCGCTGGTCACGTGGCGTAGCACTAGCGAGATTGAGGTTCCGACAAACGGGAGTCGTGATAGTTGTGATTGATATGGATGGGTGAGCTGCGAGAGGCACAACAGGATAGGAGAGAGTTAGGTCATGCAAAAAAATTTGCCCCGAATCTGCATGTTATACTGCAAATGTCGTCGAAAGACGATAGTCTAGCGTCTCGAGAAAGTGAACAAAACGTTTATTTCATGTTCTGCGCAAGAAAATCGGTAAATGGTATTCTGGAGGCGCTGCGTCAGACTGCCCCGAGCGTGCAGCTGAGGCGAACGAGCGCATCAAGTCACGTCACACGTGAGGCATGAGCGCTATCTGGCAGTTATCTCGGAAAAGGAAGCGCGCGCGGCGTGCGCGCCCGTCTCGGAGGTGATGAAGTGTAGAACGCAAGGCGACGGGTAGGTGCCACCACCGTGCCGTCTTAGTAAGGCGTTGGAAACACTCGCCTTTTCGTGCAAGCGTTACATCGTCAGCGCAGCGTGATAAGCGCTATGGTCCCTTGAATTACATAAGTATGCCTTTCCTAGTAAAAATGCACACATACAGACTGTTGACGTGTTGTTATAGTGCCTCATATATGCGCAATATTTGCTTTTTAGTTGACAGTCGCACTAGTAGGAATGCTAAATCTTGAGCAATATTGATGGACGCTCCGGATGGGGTCGGTGGTTTGGATTTTTGCTAGAACCGTTTAGATTTTAGAATATCGTTAAGGGCGGATAAACAGACAAATGGACAGACAGACCAACATTGCTTTAAAATAGCGAACCAATGAGAGGAGCTTCAAGAGAAACGAGAGTTGGGCTCATGGGAAAAATCCGGCCTTTTTGCGAGAGCTAGGACAATGACTGTCTCGGGAAAATATAGTAACAACCGTTGATTCTTTCTGAATTTGCATTTTCATAACGACCAAGAGGAAGAAGCCACCCGAAGTGAGTGTCTGCGAGAGCTGACGTGAGAGCGGGCTTGTCCTTGCCGAGCCAACTGCGTTGTTCGCACGTGAGAGATCGGAGCTTGACGCCAACAAGTGCAAACGTTGAAAAATATCGAAACACGATAGACTGTCGTCGGAGGAGCATCAGAGTTTGAAGAATATTTTTAAGTTCCTTGTTTTATGGCTCTTGAAGGAAAAATTGTAGGTAAAACCGGCACAAAGACAGAAAATCAATGGCGGATGGTGAAAGTCCTGTGTTCCATCTCTGCACTTGCGTTGGTTTTGCGCTGCATTTTTTCCCCAGAAGCTTCACTATTTCTACAGTACTGGATCAGTAGATCTGACTGGACCTTCATTCTTTTCTTTTGCAGCTTCAGTTGTGGTCTTCCTCGGGGCCCTCTATGCGTACTTTGACCAGGAGTCAACCCCCACCGCGACATCCGCCAACACATGGCTGGTGTACCTGTTGCTACATCTCGAAATAGTGCTCATGGTCTTGTCGCTGGGCGTCTTCATCGTAGCTTCCATCGGCTTTATTGGGGCTCTGCGTGAGAACATTGAGCTATTGGATCTGTACACCACGTTGCAGGGGTCGTTCATCACCACCGAAGCGGTCTTCATCGTCATGCTATTCTTCCTACCCATAATCGGGCGCGAGTTTGTCATCTCGCACATCACGACCGAATTCATCGTCCACTATCGCGACAAGCTGGATTACCAAAGGGTGCGTGCTTTTCGAAAAAGAAAAAAAAAACGTGAGTAGCTTGTGCGAGTGGTTCAAAGCTGGACTAATTGGGGAGCTAGCTGACCTAGATAACGAGCGATGTCTAAGTTAGCATGGTCTTAATTAGCAAAGTAGTCTCTGTTTTTTTTCTGTTTGCCTTTTTCACACTGTTTATTTTTAAGTGAAAAGCGTTTATTGTCCCATACTTTCGTGTGTTCGTCCCTCCATCCGTGCCCTGGGACGGTGCCAGCTGTGGTCTCTCCCCCTTACCCTCTCTCAACATTCACGGGATGGCACACGGCACATGAAAATATTTGCTCCACCATAGCTGTGGCTTAACCCCTTACACGTTCCCATCAATCACGTGATTGTTAAGAGAAAAACAAAAATACGAAAAATACAACAAATAGGAAAAAAAGGAAAGGACATGGCAAGTCAGACATGGCCACAGACTGTTGCCGTTCACTCATCGGAATTTCCAAAGTGTCTTTCAATTTTTGTCGTTTTCTCTGTGCCTCTCTCTTTTCTGTTCCGTTTATCTGTGCTGCACTTCTTTATTTTCTTCAAAAAGCACACTCATGGAAAAAACAGCTGCATTGTACCATCCATCGAATTAGCCTGTATGAATGTGCTGACCACGGGCCCTATGATCCGAAATTTTAATAGCTGATACAAAGAAATTTACTATAGTTTCCTTGATTTCCCAAATGTATATCGTGAAGGACAGACTGTTTATTTAAAATCAATCGTAAGAGAAGAATGACGATAAGGAGGAGGAACGAAGTGCTGGCTGAATTTTTCGCTAAGACACTCGGCTGCTGATCCGCAGGTCTCGGGATCCAATCCCAGCCCCATTTTAGATGGAGGTGAAAATGCCTGAGGAGCGTCTACTTAGATTTAGGTGCACGCAAAGAACGCCAAGTGACCGAAATTTCCGGAGCCCTCCACCACGGCGTGTATTATGATCATACGGTTGTTTTGGGGCATTAAACCCCAGCAATAATGATTTTGTTATTTTATTGCACTTTGGGTACCTCTTGCAGTTTATCTTTTCGGTCACGTTAACCGGTGGAGCGAAAAACTTTAACAGCTCCGCTGTTAGAAATCATGGCTAATGCCTGGAATGAAAGTTATGTAGGGTAGAAGTCCAGGGAAGGGTGGAGAGCTTAAAAAGAGAAGTTCTTGAAGGTGGCGTGTCCTGAAACTAACTTTAAGAAAGGCTCTATCTTCCTGCTCAAGGCTGTTTTGAAGAATACTAGGCCGTTTTCAGAAACGTTGCCTCAAGCGGCATCCCGTGTTCATGAATTTTTAATCCACATGTGCGAGATATAACGTTTGCGCAAAACGCAGTTCGTTTTCACATGACGTTTCGAACTGAAGCCAGGTGCATTACTCTCGGAATCTGAACAGCATATTTATTAGGAGGTTGATTATGCTTTGTGACTACTTGTCAGGATTTCGTCAAGTTATAGACCTCAGATTTGAGCTTTGTACAAGCTTGCCCAATAGCTGTGAGAGGCACCGACGGAACAGAAATACAAGATCGTGAAATTTATGACCAGAAGTGAATCCGGCTATGAAGACGGCGTAATTGAGGGTTCCCGAAAGTTCAGAATACCAGGATTTCGTAAATGCGCACTGCACTTGCACAGTAAATGGAACTCCGGAATTCCGCTTTCATAAAAATGCGGCCACCTTAACCCACGCTTTTCGAATTAGGATAGAAAAACCGTAATCACTACTCCCCCCCCCCCCTCCCTTCTTGTATTTTATAATTCCAGCTAAACTTTGATTGCAACACTAGAACGATACTCCACGAGCGTGATAGAACTTCTCCTCTGCAGCACATGGGATCTAAAAAAAAACATGCTGCATCTTGGCAAAAACGAAGACACGTGTTGGCTGAGAGCAGACAAAATGATACACAGAGAGCCCAGATGTCGTCTTAAGGTTCCTAGCATTTCCCAGTAGCACTTCTACTTAACTCTGGTGTCTCTGGTGTCACGAGAGATTTCTCATCACTCACCAGGACTCCGAAATATTAATACAGAACACCTTGAACGGTGGGATCACAGTCTGAGGCAACAGACAGAAAGCTTGCTTGAAAACCGAGGCTTATCATTATCCGCCTCATTTCTTTATTCTTAAGACACCTGCTTTGTCTAGGCAATGTGCAGTGCTCGGCTATTATGTCTATAACGACGAAGCCTCGCTCACGGAACAGCACGAGCAACTTCTGCAGTCGCAAATACGCCACATCTGAGCATGCGCAACGACAGCGATGTGGCTACCTTGCAGTTTCCAGCCTTATTTATCTCGTCATTCACGATGACTGCTTTGGCCATCAGAACATTGTCAACATTACAGAACCGAAAAAAAAACAAGAAAACCAGCAATTGCCTGCATAGGCGCCTCTTGTACTATAAACTTCTGGTCGCTTCGTGATATCATATCACAGCGAGAATGGTTCGTTTTATTTTTTTGCTTGCTTTTTGCTTTTTTTGATAAACTGTTCAGAGCGCTTTCGACAGCCAAAGCGGCTGTTGCTTCTGTGATGATAAACCAAAAAGGATGTGATAAACAGGGATCAGTATGGCAAGGTAGGCACGTGATTAGCGCCGCGCATGCTCAGATGTGGTGTATTTGTGACTGCAGATGTTGCTCGCGCTGTTCCGTGCGTGACGCTTATATAAAAATAAAATACATGCCAACAAACAATGTAAATAAGAAACACCAAAATACAATAAAATAGGTACGGGAGAGACGCAGAGATATTAATTCCTCCTATCATCTCGTCGTCACTAGGGCAGAAATTAACTATAGTTGATATTGACTTTGAATATAACCATATGTACCGACGAACCACTTTGGAAAAAGTATTGGCATGAAAAGCTTACTTGACGATCCCCTGAAAAATTTTAATGCGTAGATAGACAACAGTTTCTGTGACGTTGGTACCAGTAATCGAACACGGGACGAGCACCTGTCAGGTGCAGTCACTCTCCTAATTTACCTCTCTGTGTGGCTTGCAATCAGCTGCGCTAAGGCGGACTGTTTGAGATTTGGAAGCCTGAAGTCACTGAATACGGCATAATACACGTTTGGTAGTAAGTGATGGTGATGAACTGTGGCGAATGAGAAAATAACCAGCCATCCTATTGTAGCACAAAGCCATACTACACATACAGTCAATTTTGTAATTGAGCCTAATATACACTTCCTGCAATTTGCTGAATGACATATGCTATCGCAGGAGATCGACTACGTGCAGTCGTCACTGCACTGCTGCGGTATGACGGATAACTCGTATCGGGACTGGAACGCCAACCCGTACTTCAACTGCAGCCCAACCAATCCCAGCGCAGAGCGTTGTTCGGTGCCGCCTTCGTGCTGTCGGATAACGGAAGTACCGGACATCGTCGATTACAATAGCGGCACGGGCGCTCATGAGGCAGAGCCAGTAAAGGCTTCCAAAAGTGGTGCTCCCGAAAGTGCAGGTGCGAGTGCGGATGGCGACGTCTACGTCACTACACTTTGTGGACGAGGAGTAATGAACCTCAAGGAGCAGGACGCCTGGAAGGTACATGCTCTCGAACCTGCTTCCGTACCGTTTGTCTACCTCAGGGGTCTCAAACTGCTCTCAGCTATAGCGGGCTCCGATAATGAAAGTATATTGGCGCAAAGGCCAAGAAAAAAAGAAAGTAAAAAACTTGGCAGCATATCCACGGAGTGAATGATGGAGAGTGGGGCGAAGCATTCGTCCGTCCATTCGTTCTTGCTTCCGTCCGTCCATGCGTCCGTCTGTGTGACCGTCCATGCGTCCACCCGCCCATCCGTTCGTGCGTCTGTTCGTGCGTCCGTTCCTGCGTTCGTCCATGCATCCGCCCCTGCATCCGTTCATGCGTCCATCCATGCCTCTGTCTGTGTGTCCGTTCGTCCATCTATTCAACACTAAAAGTACCTCAATCTCGCATCTTTTCACCATATATTCCCCATATAGAAGCACCGCCATCCAGCGGACATTCCAAGGACTAAACGAGAGGTGACACATGCACACTTTCTTACGGCTTGCGTTTCGGTCCACTTCCCACCTCATACCACCTCGAGTTCATTGTATATACTAGTTCACTGAATTCATGGCACTGCAGCCCAACGCTCGCTGAACTTTTCCAAAACCAAGGAGGTTACGCCCACCGAGTATAACGTAGCAACCTTTTCTTGTCAGATAGTGCTGAATGTACATGCCAATGGCTGCTAATGGGAAATGAAAGACAGGAGAATTCGGCTTTTACTTTCTTACTGCTTGCGATTCGTATCGTATTCCCACCTTTAACCACCTCGAGTTCATGGTATATACTATTTCATTGTATTCATGGCACTGTGGCTCAACGCTCGCTAAACCTTTCTAAAAGAAAGGAGGTCACACCCAGCGAGTATAACGTAGCAACCCTTTCTTGTCAGATAGTGCTCAAAGTGCATGCCAATGGCTGCTAATGGGGATCGCCGCGTGGGCTTTAACTAAAAGCCGAATTCTCCTGTCTCTCATTCCCTATCAGCAGCCATTGGCATGAATATTGAGCACTATTTTTTATTGTTGAACAACGCACAGAAGAAATCTCTCACCGGCACCAATTTTAGGTCAAAATGTTATACTTGTTACACACTACAACGGCTACGAAGGACGAACAGGTGTTGCTATAAAGAGCTTCGCCCCTAAAAGGGTTGTGAAGAAAGGAAGGTGGTGTAGTTTGAACCAACAACTCCTTTATGTATTTCAATGCCAGTAGGAACGCGCGCTCCTCAACTGGAGCCGTCTGTCCGCCTTAGTTCAGGGAGTGGTCGTGATGCGACGCCACATGAAGGTACAGGGCGGCTTGCGTCACACGTGTGTCCGAGTGCTTTCCTACGGAGATGCGATAGACGTTTTTCCCAGTCCAATATCATACGCCTGTCAGACTTTTTCTTTCGTGCTCCTTCTTTGTCGCTCGAAGCAATGCCGCCACCTCCTCACGGCACTCCTAATGTAAGCGCATGCAGCAGCGTCCCAGTGGCGCTTTCACACTGGTTTCCATAGAGCATAGCGCCACGAATGGTGACACGCTATCTCAAAACACTGTATATTTTACACAGCCAGCATGACCTCCAACATTGTGAACACGAGGAATGCGAGACGCCGCCCCACGAAACAGCACGCAACTGAAACAAAATTACTAAATATAATTTTCGTCGTGATGCACTACATGATAGGTTCTCTCTCTGGTGACCACAAAGCACACGCTAAAGCTACTCGATGAGTGAAGGCAGAAAATGACTACATTAGAAGGTGCTGATTGGCTGAAAGGGGTGCATCTGACTGGCATTTAGAAAAATGGAGGAAGTACTGGTTTGTATCGTGCCCTTCGTCTTTGGCTTTCTTTCTCTTTCTTTTTTTCGTGGCGAATCTCGGTTCTTCTGAAAAAGTTTTGCCAAGATTCAATTTCTTTTTCAATTGCGGCTTTCGAGAATGGGTTGCATGTTTCACTGTGAAAGCAATGTAATGCAAGAACGAATATATTAGTTTTTATGTCCCAAAAACAGATAAGATCTCGAAGCATGCCGCAAAGCAGGGGCTGTGACAATTTGGGCCAACTAATGCTCTTCAACGTACATATGCCATAGCACACGTGTGTCGCACAGTACTCTTCTCAAGATGAATGAATACTCCATCAGCTAGATGCGCACTGCGATTTCCAGATTCTTTGGAGCCAGTCCTTGCAAGCCTATTTCAACATGTCGGACTACAGTCTACATTTAAAAAATCGCGAAGAAACTGGTCTCAAACACTTTCCATTTGTGACTTTCCAAGTGTGCGCGGTAAATGCTGACATGTATGCGCGCCCACTTGTTCCCTCTTACCTCCTTGCTTCATATATTCTTTCCCTTCCATTTCCCCTCCCCATGTACGGTAGCGAAACTGGTACAGTCTGTCTAACGCCACTGCTTCTGTTCTCTCTCTCTCTCTCTCATGCTCGAAAAAAGTCTCGATGGATCAAACTCTCATCCACAAGGTGTATATAGGAAGGCCGGAAATTCTGCGCGAACGAGCTCGATTTCGCAACGTTTATTCAATCGTTATATAACATGTACATGCTCAGCGCCTAAAATTACAGGAAGATGAAAGCTTCAATGGGTTCGTTACGTTCGAAAAAGAGAGAGAGAGAAAGAGAGATAAATCGAATGCTGGTGGTTATGTTTTGAGGAGGAGGGAGTGCTGGCTGAGATAACTATGCTTTTAAAACCATTCTTCGAACAGCAGTGCTTAATTTTGTGACCATTTCTGATTATCTAATGTCGATGACATCCGGAAAGTGTGGCATCACTGCATTATGCCAGTGATTAGGCAGATCCTTAATGCGAGGAAAAAAAGATAAAAGTGACCTTTATGTTGCGTGCAAGTTGTATGATATGTCGTGTTTAACGTCCCAAAACCACCATACGATTATGAGATACGCCGTAAAGGAGGGATGCGAAAACTTCGACCACCTGGTGTTCTTTAGCGAGCACCCAAACCTGAGCAAACGGGCTTACAGCATTTCCGCCTCAATTGGGAATGCAGCCGCCGCAGCTTACATTTCATCCCGCGACCTGTGGGTATGTTCCATGCAAGTGACGAATAGAACTGGTCCGTAACGTTAGGAGAAGTCGTGGCTGACTTTCGCCGCTAACTTTTTTTTGCTGTCTTTTATTGCTTCTGTGCACTCCTGAATATTATTAGGGTATTTAAAGCGACGTGTCTTTAATTGTTATTCTTCTCAGTCAGGAAGGTATATAAAGGGTGGCTCAGGCACTCCCACCCAATGTCGTAGTTCATCCAGTCGCACATATTTTCGAGCAGCTTTTTTTTCTTTTTTGCCATGGTAAGACTTTCATTTAAACAGTTAGGCCTTACCAACCCCCTCCCCCATGAAAAACAGTCTGCCCACATTCCTGCACTTATTCAATCACGTTCAAGTGCGTACTAAAAGGTAATAGCCTTAAATATAATATTGTAGCACAATTTTTAACGTTATAAGCCATTTAACTTACACTGTTGGCTAACTTTGACAGAGAGTCTTGCACATATTTCACTTCAAACACATTCCGAATCTGCCGCAGCGTATCTACACACGAGGGTGCGGAGCAGCCATGTTTCACTTCATTGAGTCACGTGTCGTGGAGCTTGTCCTGTACATGTGCCTCGTCATCCTCGTTCACCTCTTCCTCACGGCGCTCGCGGTCGACGTGCGCAAGGAGATTGCCGCGCTCGCGAAGGTCTACGACAAGTACTACAAGGTGCTGTATCCATTGCATAATATGGTTCACGATTACAAACTGTCTAAATACTCGGGAGACTATGATAGCAGGAAGAGAAGGATATTCCTGAAGACGTGCTGTCACTCGCGAAAACATTTCAAGTCATTTGTCTTCTACAAAGCAGCAACCTTGCCTCGAAGACAGCACCAAGTGCCATAACTTCGGTTTCAGCGACAGCTGGAACCAACAATCAATGCTTAGTGCACGTACAGTCGTCAGCAAGTTTAACACCAGTGGTCCGCAGCATGTCTTCAAGACAGTTTGATTGACGATATAGCCGTGTAGCTTTGGGCTGTGCCTCCTATAATTTACTCATTCAAGCCGACATACTATACAAACATACGGAGGTATTATCTCGGCAACAGCGCCCAGCATCTCGCCGCTGGCGTCAGTCCAAGTAGTGCAGGTCACGTGTCGGAGCGTTTGTGTTAAGCTTGCTAACGACTGCACATCGTACACGTGTCCGATGTAAGGACCAAAGATTGAACCCATCAGTATTCCGAGCTTTCCGGCTTCCTACCATTATATTCACTTGCGCAGTCGAAAAACGCACAGAGTGAAGTGGAATTTCTTGATTGATAATGCATGATAGTTATGCGAGACAAGGCAGAGCTCGCGTAGGATTGCATTGCAAAGCAAGCTAGAAGGCACAACTGCTATCTACCATGTATTGCCCAATCAGGAGCCAAGCTTCTCGTGACGTCGCGCATAGAAACTGCTGGCGTTACAAATTACTTCCGCAAGACGTGGCGCGCCTGGGTGGAACAACGCTTTATTTCCGTGTATCTTCAGGCGTTGCTTTTAACATTCGTGTTACGCTTAATTGATCACTGTGTATATTGTAGGTCGTATACCGCGGCCAGAAAAGAATGAAATTGAAAGAAGCAGCGACAGAAAGGCCATCCCCACAGGACCCCCCTTTGGTGGCCTCTAAAGAAGCTCGTCGCCAAAGACACCGCCGTCGCTACCTCGACGCCCGGCCACCATGGAAGCAACTTTCAAACCAGATTGCTTCACCTGGTGCGTTTAGACGTGATGGCCTTAATTGTGCAGCTATTATAACCTCGGTTGCATGTTGTGCTTCTTGTCAGACCGCCACACGAGCTAGCTTTTGATGGGTAGCGTTTAACGTCCCAAAACTGCCATATGTTTACGAGATGTTGGAGTTATCTGTCATTTGTATTTAGCGCGTGTGATACTCGCTGTTAAATACACGCAAGAATGGTGTTTCGAATCGTTCAATAGGATTGGTGGTGTTCAACGAAAGTTAAAAGATTACGAAGACAACTATCACAGTAGCTATAAGGAGCGGCGAGATTTTGTTACGTAGCGCATGCATGAGCCAAAACTTACCCCTAATCCTAAGAGCAGCACGTATTCACTAATTCGTACAAGAATTTGCAAAGCGTTTTCTTAATTAGCACTAGTTATCGTTAACTCTTGATGATTATGTGTTCAGCAACGCAATTCCCTCGTCTTCTGTTATTCCATTTGAGCGATTTTTTTCTGTTCTTTGTAAGGGTGCTTCGCTTCAATGTTTGATGTAGTGCCTTAAATGTGTTTGTTTTTAATCAGTACGACTGACGCGTAATTTTGTTGCTTTCCCAATTAACTTCAAACCAATGATGAAGGAACCTGTGTTTTTCTTCTTTCAGCAGCAGCAAGCAGTCTCTGACAAGCCAGAAGAAGCCACAAGTGGAAAGCGGGGATTTCAATATTCGCTGATATACCACATTTAGGTTAACGTCGTTTGACATGCGCTGAGCGCGCGAACGTAACTTTACTAGCGGCCTTACGCACCACTCACGCGCAATGTCGGCTGTAATTTTACTCTGATAAAGTGAACATTCTGTGTTGAACGGAAATTACAGTTATATATCTTATGCCACGAGAGGTTCAAGGGAAAGTGAAACTTTTCAATGGCTGACAAGCTGTTCGCAAGGAACGCTTCTGGAGCGGAAGTTTAGGTAAGGTACGTGCCGTTATCGGTGCAGCGAAGGGCGACTCTGTACAAAACTTTTTACAGAGACATGTGTGTAAGAGGAGTCGTCATCATCCCGTGTAACTTGTCCTGTAGTTACCAGTGGGAGCACACTCGCCGCGGTGGTCTAGTGGTTTCGCTGCCTGACTTCTGACCCGCGGGTCGTGATATTGAATTCTGGCAACGGCGACTACACTTTTGTTTGGATCAAGGATACCCATGTCTCACGTACTCAGATTTGTCTACACGTAAAGAACCCCAAGTGGTCACAATTACCAAAGTGAAATGCTATGGCGCTTCCCATCATCCTAGGGTGGTGCTACAACGTGAACACCACAGAATTGTTTTTAATACCTTCAATGCGACGAAAGAGGCTTGTTGGTTTATATTGGCTTCGCGATGCGCTTGTGGTAGGGAGGTGGTACGAGGGTCAGATTACAAAGAACACGGGATACAGTGTTAACCACACTCGTTCTGTTAAAACATACATACATACATACATACATACATACATACATACATACATACATACATACATATATACATACATACATGCACGCATACATACATACACACATGCACGCATACATACATACATACATACATACATACATACATACATGCATACATACACACATGCACGCATACATACATACGTACATGCACACATACATACACACATGCACGCATACATACATACCTACATACATCCATACATACACACATGCACGCATACATACATTCGTACATGCACACATACATGCACGCATACATGCACGCATACCGACGTACATGCACGCATAAATGCACGCATACCGACATACATGCACGCATACATGCACGCATACATACATATATACACACATGCATGCATGCATACATGCCCGCATACACACATGCACGCATACATACATGCATGCATACACACATGCATGCATACACACATGCACTGCATACACACATGCACGCATACGCACATGCACGCATACGCACATGCACGCATACGCACATGCACGCATACATACATGCACGCATACATACATGACGCATACACACATGCACGCATACTTACATACATACATACACGCAGAGAGTGAAATAGAGACAGGTAGACCATCCGTTCTTCCGTACTGCGACTTTGGTCAAGTGTTGGCAAGAATATTCAGTCATTTGCGCATGCTCACCAACTGTGTAAGCAGTTCTGTGAAATCGCATTCAAGAGTTGTGCGCGAAAAGCAAGGAACAATATTCGGTGCATATGCACGGAGTGAATGATGATGAGTCATCGTTGCGCGGTCAAAGCATAACCATATCCTAGAAGCACAGCAAAAACACGTGAAGAGCAACAAGCCATTCGAAGGCTCCGACCCCGAAGCCAGTGCCAGTGCAAAAGCACGCTTTGCTCAGAAAACAGATTTGCGGGGTGGGGCGGGGGTGTGGAGGATCCATTACAATCGACTGAGCAGCTGTAGTTGACGGCAAACAAGAACAGGATTACTCCCGCTTTGCAAATCGTCACAGGCAAAAGCATAACAGACGGCGTGACTCCGAGTGTTCGACCAACCTACCCTTCAGGTATGCCTTATTCTGATAAAGCAGAATTTGTGTAGTGTTCAAGGTCGTCGTCCCCCTCCCCATGGCCTTTTACCTATACGCACAAAAAATCTGAATTAGTACACCGCAGTACGCATTTCGCGTTCAGTGCGTTGCATTAAAGTGAAGCAGATATGAAAGCGTGGGTCCAGGCTCATGACCTGCACTGTTCAGTGAGGTGCGAGACTTAGGTGCATAAGCCTGTTTGGCAGTGTTACTGCTGTATTATTGGCGCTTCTTCGCGGTCATATAATGAAAAGCTACATAATATTTATGGACATGTATCTGCTTTTCACAGTGAATAAATATTCTT